GAATCCGTAACGAGGCAGTTAGAAAGCGTGTTTTCGGTTTTGTAACGGGTACTTCCATTGAAGAATGTGTCAAGCACCAGAAGCTGCGTTGGTTGGGACATGTGTTACGTATGCCGAACCATCGTTTGCCGAAGAGAGTACTGTTTTCCATGCCCAATTCGGAGTGGCGTAAACAGAGAGGTGGCCAACCCTTGATTTGGCAGAGGAGTATGAAGGAGATCACGAAACGCTTGGGTGCTGTCGGTGCTACTCGCCTTCCAGGATGGGGACCGCGTGATCCTCACTGTGCCTGGTTGGAGACACTACAAGATATGGCTGTCAACCGATGTCAGTGGCGTTTTTGTTGTCAGTTTCTATTCAGATCGCCTGAGTGAGTGTCTGGAGGTACAGGCAACTCGGAATGATTGTCGTAAGCTAGCACTAAGTCCCTTCCCCGTCCACCTTTACTCTTTTCTCTACAATAAGGCTTTCAAATAAATCATGGTTGTACGGCAGTGAAGCATCGGTGTTAACACTGATGCTATGCTGTCGGTGATGATGATGATGACGACTTTAGATGACCATAATAACCTCGGAAAGAACCCTTCAAATCCTACCTGGTCGTGATATCTTTGCTGGGAGCAAGAAGGACAGAAAAAGTACAGCCAAACTAGGTATTTCAGTAAGCATTGATGACCAGGTTCCCCCAATAACTTCATTCTGCCACCCCAGAAAAGTCTCCGTATGATGTGCCCGCGTCTCCACTCTAATTCACTTTAATAATGAGCACTGTTCGCCAGTTACGTCCATTTAAATTACCACAGTTGTTGGTCGTACGGCCTATGGAAGCCATCACGGAATACGCGAACAGCGATTAAGGGACAAAGTTTCTCACCCTGAATTCTTCTTGTGTTGTGAAGTAGTTACTGCAAAGCATTCTAACATAGGCCATGAGTGATTGCCAATCAAAACAGTGCAGCTTTGCAATAGGAATGATATTGAATAGAAGGACGAGCGCGACCAATACCGACGAGTCCCCACATATGAGTAGAAAAATATCAACATTGGAGAGGAGGAAAGCATACACGAGTATTAAGGGCGGAAATGCAACAAGAACCCTAAAACCGATCAAGATGTGTAACACTGAGTCGTTTAACGGTAGTGTACAATGTTATTACGGTAAAACGTATGAGGCGCATGAAGGTGACCGTACCAGACGATAAGATGAGAACAGTTTTAGGCAGCCCACATTTCTTTCCGTAACATACCTACCCCGAATATCTATCATTTCAACGTAAGAAGTGTGCAAGTACTCTCTGTAATGTCAAATGAGAAGGACGCCTCAATCTACCGATGAGATAACTTCGGCCCTCTCTCACAGTTACCCTGTCCTCATACAGCCGAACGTAATTGGCTTTTTGGAAGTCTCGATTCACAGGAGGTAGTGTATCATGAAACAAAGAACACATTTGAACCTACCGCATTAGCGCACTTATGCCCCTGAATTTCATTCGGATTCAGGGAACCTTCTTCCTCCAGTGTTTGGAGATTAGACTGTCCGCGAGATGCTAGAGCGTGTGCACATGATAGACGCTTCTCGGTATCATGGGTCGGCGCGCTGGTAGACGTTGGATTGATTTCTGTAGGTTGTGTTTCACCCTGGGGTTGTTGCTGCTGCTGTTGTTGGGCGGCAGCGTAGGCCGCCACAGCAGCCATGACGGTTTCATAGGCGTCTGGTGAAGATAAGGCAACAAGTTCGTTCTCTCGTGTGATGACCATCCCGTCTAAGCTTCCTGTGGATGTTGTGCGTTGCCTGGACTTCTCCTCAATGATTCGAGCCATGATGGAGCCACTAAGAAAAACCCGAATCAATTTCCGAGGTGAGAACATTTCTATCTGAGAAAACTACTCGTGTTCATCCTATGCCTGTCAAACCCCATGCAGAAATTGCTATCCGGCATCTGGCCCTTCAGTTTTGGAACTGTTGCTGGCGTATTAGATAATCGATTAAAAAACACGGTGAAATCAAATCAATAACAAAGAAGAGGATGAGCAATCATTACACGGGAAACTCGATACACAGGTTGACCAACGAGATGCCGATAAGTTTTTTTACAGTCTATATGTTCGTCTACTCATCTCTACTATCCACTTGTTATTTTGAAATTCCGACATGCAAACGCGGATAGGAATTACTCACGGGGGCAAACAGAATTTTACACCCCGAAATCAACCGAATTCAGCCGAAACAGTGAGAATTTTAAGACAGTCGCATTGAATGTGAAACTAAGGGGGCTTAAAAATACTCAGCATATGATCTTAGGTTGAATTAACCATCGAAGTCAACATGCAGCAGATACTCGTTATACCACCACCTACTACAACAACACACTCGTTCATTGCAGGTTTCCAAAAACAGAGACAGAGACAACCCCCTCACTACGGCTCCACTTGATGTTGGTCTTCCGTTTTGCTAATAAATGTTAGAGAGCATCGTTGATGACTATACCAAACCAAAAGTTCATTGTTTAACTCGTCCGAGTGTCACTGAACAAGGATAGCCATAGAAATGCTCCGATTACGCCAAATCCAGTCATTCTGCGAGTTCGCTCAGTAGTTAGAGTGCAAATTTACTGACCGGAAGTTCTGTGGTTCAAACCCGACCTCTACATCTCGATTTCTCCTGTCTAGTCTTGGGCAAACTGGCAGTATCGCAGCCCTCATGGTTCCTTCGGGTGTCATGGCAGCTAGGCGTCGGAAGGCTGAGCGATTAGTATGCTATATAACCTGCTACAATAAGCTGCTGAAATGAGGCAAACTTTTCAGCCGGAACATCAGATTCGTCACATATGTTTATTTTGCCTGAAAACTTTGGACCAGCTGTTGAATCGCTCCGACAGTATTTCAGTGTAACAACCTCTTCATTCTTCCAATGTCATTGGAACCCGCAATATACCAAAACGACAAAAACCCGTAGATGATGTACTATGGAATGCGGAACAGGATCCTTCATATGGAAATCCTGTTCGTTCCACGAAGAGTACACATAAGAGAATGATAAACAATGGGAGTATTGGCCACCTCGGAATAGTGAGGTAGCACTCAGTCAACTGCGAACTGCCATCTCGTCGATTGGAGATGAAAGGTTTGCAAGCTAATCGCGAAGCACAGCGAACCACCAGCGAACAACCATCATCTGATCGGCCATCAACCTCTCGTTTATGATCATCTCTAACCGAGGGTCCACGTCACATTGCAGCAGTTAGGATTCGACTCATCAACCCTGGTCTTATATGTAAGTCTTCTGATCTCCACCTTCTACTGCAGATTTTCGTTCGATAAGGGAAATCAAAAAGAGACCGCTGACATTGTGAGAACGGCGTGAACAGTGTTTATAATATCCACCACTGCACTGCTTCCTCTTGAAGTCTAAAGCCACCATTTCGAACCAGAAAACGTCCGGTATGTGGTTTGTAAAGGTTGTGTCCTTGACAGGTTATAAAAGGAAAAATCAGTACTGCCAAATTCGTCCCCATAACGGGCACATCACTCTGCAAACAGTTACTGTTTTGTGAACAAAAACATGAGTGATCGTCTCCCACAACACCAGTAGCAAACACCAGAAAGTGCACAATTCCGGTATCTCATTCAATATATGCATACAATAAACACCACATTTTGACGCAATTTTTACCATTTTGCGTCAATAAACACATCTTTTTGTAGTTAGTGCCTATTAAGGTTTCAAGTTTCCACGAAACAAGGTTTGAAAAAAGTACCATAGTGCGCACTTGTCACTCATTTTAGACTTTGATGCATGTATTTGTCGCTATGCAACAAGCGGTACCGACCGGAATGGTGATACAATTGTGCCTCAGGAAAAATGGTTGGTTCAGTGGCTTTTGACGTAACAATCACTATCAATTAGTTCAAATTTTGTCAATGTAAACAGGACAATGCCGAATGAATGAACGGTCAAAATGACTGCGGATGAGGACAATAGGCCACTAGCAATGTTCCACAAGGATGATAAACTGGTTAACTTCTGCCTGAAACCAAAACACGCAAAGCGAGAAAAATAACTTTGTGGAAAAGCATCCCGGTAAGGGTTGTGCAGTGAAAGATGAAGCTCTCATTCGCAAGCAGCGCGAACATCAAACTGACCCTATACCGCCATACTCTGTCGAAACGGTTGGTTCGTTGTTCAAAAAAGAGAACCTCCTAACGGAAATACATTGTCTCAAGTGGCTAAATATACCCGTGGTAGTCATGAGAACGAAGAAGGTAGCGAACAAAGCTTGTTTTCTGTGATTGTTCCTCTTGGCTAATACATCACAAAATTATATGGTAGCAGAAATCACGTGGTAAAGGTTAAGATCGGGACTACATACACTTTAGAGATATAGAAATCGAAGGAAGGGGGTTGGATGAGAGATAGGTCAATGGGTCACGGAATCAGCTAAGTGACGTCACTGTCAGACAGAATTGTGAAACCGGATGGTTCGTAGGCCCGTTCAAGTTCAGAGGTCACAAAAGGTTCTTTTGGATGCAAAGTTGCGGATCCAGCAGTCGGATTCCAATCGCCTCTGCGATCGATAGTCTGGATCGTACCAGTCGTGATCGGTTTAGAAGTACCCGGTATATGATGGTGAAGGCTTGCTCCTTGTCTATGACATGACTGGTTTCGACCAAATGTGATGCAATTGCGCTTGAGTCTGGTTTCTTTCCACTATCTCTCAGAGGCACGGGATTGTGTTCTCGCATTCTGTCCGACAAATGCCTTGTCGTAAGACCAACGTATGATGCTCGGCACGAGCATACAATTGAGTACACACAAAGACTGGTGGTAGAACGTGACAATTTGTCCTTCAAGCGGAATTTGATAGGGGGCTGGAGTTGAAGCTCATTAGCGGCCAAGTATGTCGTATCAACAGTTCCTAAGCCTTCTGATGATTAGTTCAGCAACCGACTCACCTTTGAATGGAAGCCTCATGTATACGGGTTTCTTCTTAACAGAACGTTGTGTAGGTTTGGGCTTAACGGCTTCCATACTCTTGAGTACGAACCTTGCAGGATATCCGTTCTGCAGGAATGGGCGTCCCAATAACTTTAGTTCCTCTTCTAAGCAGTCGGGGGAGCATATGTTCATTGCTTTCTCAGTCAAGCATCTAATTAGGTTACGCTCTTGTCGCAACGGAACGGAGCTATCAAAGTGAATATAATGACTTTCCCATATTTGCTTTCTGTGGACCTTGCGTTGGATGACGCAGTGGTTTCAGGCAATGAGAGGGTTAATAAATGAAAAGATTATCCAGGCAGATCGGATTTACATTCAAGTAACGATGATTCAAGAAATATACACATTTGCAATTAAGGACAGTGCAAATGGACCGTGCTTGTTGGATTCAGGCTACAGTATGGCCTCTTTTGTTACACGGCGTAGAGAGATGGGGACCCTAACTGAGACGCTTTCAGGTCTTCGATAACCGTTTTCTCAGGCGAGATGGCAAACTTACTGACCGGAAGGTCCGTGGTTCGAACCCGACCTCTGACTCTCGACTTCCCCTGTCTAGGCCTGGGCAACCTGGCAGTATCCCAGCCCTCGAGCAACCTTCGGGTGACACCGAAAGGGTGCTACAGCTGAACGATACGATTTCTCAAAATCATAGCTGTTACAGGCGAGTGTCGGATAATCCGCAACGAGACATTTAGAAAGCGAGTGTCCATTTGCACCACGGGGATACAAATCGAAGAGTGGGTTCAGCACCATAAGCTGCGTTGATTAGGCCACGTACTGCTCACGCCGAACCATCGTTTGATGTGAAGAGTGCTGCTTTCTCTGCGCGATTCAGAGTGGCTGAAGCGGAAAGATGACCTGGCAGGGGTGTATCAAAGAGATTATGCAAGGTCTGCGTGCTGTCGGTACGATCCGCATTGCAGGATGTGGTCCGTGTGATGCCCACTGTGCATGATCAGGGACGCTACAACATATGACCGCTAAGCGATGTCAGTAGCATTCCTGTTGTCTATTTCTATCCAGATTGTCTAAATGGATGGCTGGAAATGCAGGCACCTCGGAATGATTGTGCTACGATAGCACCAAACCTCTCCTGCCCTTTCCGTCACAACAAGGCTTTCAAATAAATCATGGTTATACGGCAGTCAAACATCAGTTTTGATCACTGATGTTGTGCTGTCGGTGATGAGGAGGTGGGATACCTAACTGAATCTTCCATTTATAGTACACGATTGTTGCAAGCACGAAAAATACGCGTACCCGATGGGCTTCACAAAGAGTGAAACCAGTAGTAGGCTGTTGGAGCAGTGATATGACGAGAAAATACGCTCTGATATATCGAACAATGTATCAAGTGAAATATGGGATAGCAGAACAATCACAAACGAGAGATTAGCTGAGTCTCGACGATCACAATTCACAAGTAACAACAATTCGCCGGTTGCGGCCAGTGTGGTGTTCAAGTGGAACATGTGATCTAAGGAAACCCCACAACTAGGCCTACCAGATGAGCCCAACGGAAGTCCAAGCCCGGGCTGTCTAAGGGTTTTCGGTAACCTCATAGATAATATGTCGCGTGACGATCAGGATTTCGTTCATACTGCATTTATGACATTATTACACGCTATATGTTTTTTGCTTAAATGCTTCTTGTGGTCTTATTTCAAGTAACGTGCGAAAAACCTTATAGGGCTGATAATCAAGCATCATCATGAGCGAAATAGCGGTGCGGATTCGAGTACGCTATACCACTGACCCGAGAGTGTATCCGGATCGTTACCTGCCGAGCACTGATCACTGCTTTCCCAGCACTGTCATCAACAGACGAGAGTCTGTGATGAGGATATGTATCGGAATCGGGTACGATCAACGGCTATACGCGACCTGAGAACGAGCGCACAACTCCCCAGCTATGACGCGAGCCCAACACTCCTAGCGCAGAGAAAGACCAGACCTTCAGATGATATATATATATACTTCGAGCGACCATGGGGAGCGATAAATCAGTTAATGCACACAAGGTATAACTGGCCAATTGGAAAACAGCGCGGTCTTTTTGGATTTAGGTGCAACATGGCGGAGAAGGTGCGAAATTTAAAAATTCAAATTTTTGGAAAAATAAATTGGCAGCAACTCGAAAAATAAGCCGTTTTGGGGGATACTGATATCCCCAACACCTCCCCTTGAGGAAAGAAAATGTCAGTACCGTGGTTTTCGGAAGTTCATTTGGAAAGGAGTGGTTTGGCGTCGACACCGGTCTGTCCATCTTCTTGGTAGAAGGTTTGTCTCACTGGCTGGTGCGTTTTGTGTCGCCGGCTGGGCTGCATCCGGTGTGGCGGCCTTCAGTTCAAAAGTGTCAAGAAGTATGTCGAGTGGAAGGTCGCTCTGGGATGCCGGCGGCTCTGATAGATGGCATGGACGCAGTTCATCCCTGTGTTGGGTCCGGATGTCTTGGCCCACAGAGATGTCATACATTACGCTGCCGCGTTTGTGTAAGACGTGTCCTGCGATCCAGCGTTCGTGCCTTGGTCGATAGTCTCGGGCAAAAACACTATCGCCTATTTGAAACTGGTTCGGGTTTGTGTTCACGTCAGGTCGGGAACGAGCCATCGATGCCGGACACATGGCCGAATTGGTAGTTCGCAATTTCCGGCCAATGAGCGCTTCGGCGGGTGACTTCCGATCTTCTAGAGATTCATTTGGAGTGGTCCGACAGACCAAAAGAAACCTCTGTAGAACTTCGACGGGCGTCCCCTCCCCTCGAAACTTGAGCAGCGTCCGCTTGCACGTTTCGACGAAACGTTCCTCCTGCCCGTTGGACTGCGGGTGGTATGGTGGCGAATGGACGTGCGTCATGGCATTTCCCTGGCAGAACTCTTGGAAGCAGCTGGAGCAGGACTGTGATCCGTTGTCTGATACCAAGGTCGCCGGTAGGCCGTGCTTGCTGATGAGCTGTGACAATGCCCGTATAGTGTTCGTTGTCGTTGACGGGACGACAGACACAACTTCTGGCCATTTGGAGAAGGCATCGATCAAGATGAGGTATGCCACTTCATTAATAGGGCCAGCGTAGTCGAAATGCACCCGGCACCAAGGGCGTTCGGGTCGAGGCCAGGCAGCTGGCGGAAGGCGTGGAGGGTTGTTCGCGGCCTATTGACACTTTGAGCAGTCTCTGACTGAGTCAGCTGAAAGTTCCCGCTAGTAGTGCTACGTCCCAGCGGGCGCCCGGTTAGCAGGTAGACGCGACTGCGAATAGCCTAGCGGAATTCACCTACGACCCAGACGCTAACATTACGTTCGAGACATGGTTCCGCCGCTACGGGGGCCTATTCCGAGTTGATCTCGCTGCGCCGGATGATGCATGGAAAGTCCGGCTCTAGCTTTGTAAACTTGACCCTGCAGAGCTGGACAAGTACCGCAACCTGATTCTACCACAGAACCCACGCGACAGGTCATTCGATGACACCGTACAGACGCTGATGGTTACTTTTGGGGAACGGTCTTCTCTGTTCAATACGCGGTACCGATGTCTAAAGTTGGTTATGAACGAGTCAGATGACTTTTTGACATACAATGGCATTGTTAATCGCGAATGGAACGTTTCAAATTGAAGTCGCTCACAGCTGACCAGTTCAAATCCCTGATTTTCATATGCAGCCTTCAATCTCCCAAGTTCGCAGACATACGGACGCGCTTGCTCAACCGACTCGAGCAAGACCCCTCCCTGACACTCAACGCCATTGCTGACGAATACCAACGGATGACCAACCTACAGCATGACACCACTTTGGTCCAATCTGGGGGCCAAGGTGGTCCCGGAGTTCATGCGGTTCGCCAGGCCTCCAATCCACCTGGCTATCAAATCTCTGGCCCGTCCTCCTCTGGTCCGTCGCGCTCTGGCAATACCCAATCAAGTCAGCAGAATTTCCAGAAGAATAAGCCGTCATCCCCGTGCTGGCACTGCGGGGCTTGGCACTTTGTCAGGCTGTGCCCTCACAAACAGCATCGACGCCGACAATGCGAGACCGTGGGCCACAAAGACGGATACTGCAAGGCTCGCTTAACCAGCACATCCCACGGCACCTCCAAGCAGCAACCACGCCCGCAGAACTTCAAGCATGTGGGCTCCGCTTTGAGCCTGCTTGCAACATTTCAAGTCGGTGCCCCCTCTCATCGGAAGTTCCTCACAGTCCTGGTCAATGGACGTCCGGTCTGACTGCAGTTGGACACTGCGTCGGACATCACGATCATATCGGAGAAGCTTTGGAATACGCTTGGGCGACCAACTGTCCGACGCTCATTCAGAACCGCCATCAGTGCCTGTAGCGGTGAACTGCGGCTTTCCGGAGGACTGCAATGTTGTGTCTCATTCAATGGAACGACATGTTATGTGGCCACTGCCGAACTGAACCTTCTTGGCCTTGATTGGTTCGACCGTCTTGGTTTGGCAGATGTCCCACTCAGTTCCATCTGCAACGCGGTCCGTTCTCACGTTCCTGCCCCAGATCAGGTCCGTGATATTATTCAGCGCTTTGCCAGTTTTCGAACCTGGCCTTGGTTGCTCTTCCACCACAAAAGCAACCCTCCAAATTCGACCAGACGCTACCCCAGCGTTTCGCCCCAAGAGACCAGTTCCATACGCCTCCTTGCCGCAGGTTGATGCAAAACTTCAGCGTCTCGAGCAACAAGGCGTACTATCTCCAGTAACGTACTCCGAATGGGCAGCACCGATCGTCGTGGTGAAGAAGCCAAACGGGTCAATCCGCATTTGTGCCGATTTCTCAACCGGCCTGAATGCAGCTCTCCAGCAGCATCACTATCCACTACCAGCGCCAGACGATCTATTCACTGTGATAAACGGTGGGAAGTTCTTCGCAAAAATCGACCTTGTGGAAGCGTACCTTCAAATTGAAGTCGCACAAGAATCATGCCCACTGTTGACAATCAACACACACCGTGGGCTATATCAGTACAACCGTCTGCCCTTGCAATCTTCCAGCAGTTGATGGACACCATCCTCTCTGGCATTCCAGGTGTGGTCGCATACCTGGATGATGTGCTGATTGTCGCTGGCTCTCCCGCTGAACTGCACACGTGAATTGACATGGGGCTTCAACGCATCCAGGAGAATGGTCTCCGCCTCCGTCCGGAGAAATGCCAGTTCTTCTTGGCAACAGTGAAATATCTTGGGTTCATCTTCGACGCCTCTGGCCGCCATCCTGACCCGGAGAATATCCGAGCTATACAATAGATGCCATCTCCGAAAGATGCCCCATCGTTACGCTCTTTTCTAGGGCTAATCAGTTACCATTCGGCATTCCTGCCCGCGCTACACGACATCCGGGCTCCACTTAATCGGTTGCTTGGAAAAGACGTCCGTTGGTGTTGGTCAGAAGAATGTGAGGAAGCTTTCTGCAAGCTGAAAACGATGCTCAGCTCTGATATGCTGCTGACCCACTACGACCGGAAGCTACCGATTATTGTGGCAGCTGACGCCTCCAATTATGGAGTCGCTGCCGTCATCCTACGCGTCTTCCCAGACGGATCAGAGAGAGCCATTATGCATGCGTCGAAATCACTAACCCCAGCAGAACAGCGATACTGCCAAATAGAGGAAGAAGCGTTGGCATTAGTGTTTGCGGTTCGGCGTTCCCACAAAATGCTGTATGTTTCACCCTACTCACCGATCATAAACCACTGCTCTCCACCTTTGGTTCAAAGAAAGGTGTTACCGCACACTCTGCCAACCGCCTGCAAAGATGGGCTCTGATTATGCTGGGGTATGATTTCGATATTCAATACCGGCGCACCACCGACTTCGGCCAGGCCGACGCATTATCTCGCCTGATTAGCAACCAGCCAACTCCCGAAGAAGACACGGTTATTGTGCAGGTTGCTTTCGAGGACACTCCGGCCCCATTGAAGATCATCTCGGCCTTTTTCATGTCACAGCATGACCGGGCAGTGCGAGAACGTTACGGTTGTTAGCTTACTTGGCGCTGAAGCTTCCGGTATTCCGATTAGGCAATCGCTAAACACCATTTTGTTCCTGTGTGTTTTCAATCGATTTTCTTCGAAACGTGAGTTTCTCCACTGGGATTATAGCGACAGCGGATCGAAGTTTCATAGAGAGAAAAACGACAGTTTATTGGGATCAGGAAGGGATTTTTGAGCGGACTTTGGTACACAGGTTTGATTGGATGTTAAATCCAAACGACCGGCGTTGATTATTGACCCAAAGAAAACGATGACTTCGCTCATCGAGATCGAACCAAGCTGTATGTTGATCCAAATGACCGAGTCGACTAAACTTCTGTTGTTATCTGGGGAGCTGTTAAACTCATACGATGTGAAATATGGCCTGGTCATCAAACGAGTAGCCCATGCAATTTGAAAATAGCGGTTGAAACACCGTCTGTCAGCGTTGTTTGAAAGTGGTGGTGAGAGCTGGCTCCGTTGTTCGATTATCTTCTTCCGAAAGGATGGTAGCGCTAGGCTGTTACCCAGAAGGTAACAAGCAGACAGTTGGTGGATTCGTCCTTGAGGTGTCCATTTGTCATTGGATTATTGATGCCGAGAGTTTCAAGTGTTCACATTTATTTTCGTAGCTCATTTAGCTCCACGTTTCTCCCTCTACTATACGCTACACTTTGCCTTTATTCGAAAATGACTTGGTACGTGACCACAATAGGTGTGTGCTTGCTGACGTTCCCGTAAGTTTCACTACTAGTACACTCCCTGATTCGGTATGCAGTGTGTTTCGCTGTGTATATGAAATGTGTTTATCTATCATATTTTTACAAAACACCCCGCTCGAGGCTGTTATGTCCATTCAAACTGTGCACATCAGATGCCAAGATCAAACGAAGCACGGTTTCAGCACTAACGGAAACAGCTTGGACAAAGGAGATCGATGGATGTATAAGAGGGCTGATTGGCAAGTGAATGAAATCTGTGATCCACATCGGATACAGTCAAACGGACTATCAAAAAGAAGCAAGTTTAAGAAAGCTGTTTAAAAGTGAAGCCGTACATCTGATAGGATCAGTTAAAGAGTGTCGTTCCTGAAAAATTGACATAGTGTAAGCATTAGAGACGCTGTTTATTAAAACTGACATTACTGAAGGGTATTTGTCGCTAAAGCCTGTCCAATAGACATTTCCAGAATTGCGCAATCTACTCAGATAGAGTTCGCTGGTTACAACTAATTGCTCATTTAGATGTGGTCAAGCAGGTATAATCGGTTCGGAAACCACAGTCAGTTTCAATGACATTCGATTAACTTCCAGTATGTATTTTTCTGGAGTCAGCGATGGTGCTAACACGGTTTTCCGAATAAAAGTTGTTTTCCGTAATCGCCTGGCATGTGAGAGATCACAGTTTTGCATTGTAAGAACCAGTATAGGTAAAGTCAGATTTCTCGTCACAAGGAGAAACACAAGATTGTGTTTCGAACTCCACAGAACGAAGACGCTGAAATTTACTTTTTGGTGGATAGACCAGTGTAAAAGGCAATATTTTGACTTGTTACAGAAAATGAGTGATTGACTGCCAGATAATCTTTCACAATGATTTGTGTGCTCCGTTAAAGCAGTGTGACAAGCTGTTAGCCTCTTTCTCGATCGCAATAATTGTGGGGGCGTCATCAACATATCGCGTTCGACTAACAACTGCAGACGGCTCACCATTCCCATGAGTGTCATTCAGGCAGTAGCCAAAAGTGCCCCCGTCGTTTTGTCAAAGGAAGTTCTGTTAAGGTCAAAGTGGCAAGACACTCTGACGCAACAAGTGCAGTGTCTGACAGATTAACATGATTATGTACATGTAGAACATAAGGTTGACCGAAAACCCGGGGACTGCGTCTACCTGATGAGTCCCAAAAAGGGCGAAACCAGTCGTGGGCTGTCGACGGATTTTCAGCAACCTTATGAGTAGTACATTACAAATATATACAAAGATGTTTGTGAAGGAAATTGTGCGAAGGGAGCACATGCACCTGTTAGGCGCGTCCGTTCTCAACCAGTTCAACAAATCCAAATGTGTAACGGATCCTGTACCTTCTAGGTTTCCGGTATAAATATTCTGGAGTTTTAACAAGCCGGTGCACAACGGATAGGACAGGGTGAGTGGCATAGATCAATTAGAGAATGGGATGAAGTTGTACCAGCTGTTGCCGTCAGAAGGGCGGAATCCCATTTTATGGTGAAATCATCATCATCATCGACAGCATGACATCAGTGTTCAACAGCGATGCTTCTTCGCTGTTGGTCTTTTCGCCGAGCTTGGCAGTTGGATTGCAAAAATTTCATCACCAATCGAGGTGAAATCGTCAGTTCAGGGTTGAGTGACCCACTCAACGATGTCACCTAGATTGATGATGAAACGTTTGCAATCCAACTGCCAAGCTCGGCAAACAGACCAACAGCTAAGCAACACACCCGAGCTACCTACATTCCACAACATTAACGATGCTTCACTGCCGTAAGTAGTGGGAAGGATAAGGGGAGACTAACAGCTGTGCACTGGTGGTCAGTACAGAGAAGATTTGGCTGCATTATGGCAGAGGGGCAGGCAGCTCGACGGGAGGAAGCCTGCCCCAAACAAATAATACCAGAGAATTTAACCAGGCGAAATTCATCCACTCGTTAGTTCCGTTCAGATATCACGTGAAACTCTTGTGGTTGCTCAGTCAAGGTCTTGAATGTATTGTAACAAACTACCACTGACAGCTAGGTTACGTCGAAATTTGAAGGAGCTATTCATTCCGCTCCACTGGGCAGTATTGCATAGCACTGGGTGGGCCAATATCACATGTGTTTCCCGTGCTATCGATTGGGTCAAACACGTGTGCAGTTGGGATGGCATATAAACAACCATTACCATAAGCAAGTAAGGTTCGCATTGGTGGCGTTCGTCCGGGATTGTCCCCAGGGCAATGCTTGCTACAAAAGCGACTAATTGTAGCTGACTTCCCGTATGCGGTAGCTGGTTTGTTGTCGTAGGTGGACAAAAAGGCTGCACCACCGATCAAGATGAAACGTCATTGTCAGTCAAAAATTTAATCAGCAATTCACTGATAGGCTTCATATAAGACTCAAATGAAACGCGTACAGTAACTCGACCTCTGAATTAATCAAACTAAACAACGCATTTTTGGAATTCAGTCAGTTAATGTCGGATTCACACAACTAGGTTAAACGAACAGCGGTGGTATTCTGCTAATATCATCAGACATGCACTTGAACGATCTGACCGGACGTCGACCAGCTTGGTGTCTGTGACAAATATTGTCGGCAGCGATTCACACTCCAGAGGGGAACGGAAGTCGCTGTCTTGAAGATCTGATGGCTGGAGTGTAGATTGCTAGTCTGATACCCTTAAACTGAATTGCCCGATGCTCATTCTTACGAATTTTGCGTTACTTTTTAATGCTGTTGTCCTCTGTGTGTTCGTGTGTGTGGTCAAACACGTGTTTCGACATCGCAAGCTGTTTTACACCCTGTTTGGAACTAGTCATTAGGATTTTGAACATGCATGAAGATAACCAAAGCCATATTGCGTGCACTTAACAACAGCCTCAACTGTGCTTCCACGATTACACGTGCATGATGGCCAAGCAAACAGCGTTCCAGGGTTTCCATTGGTCCAAAGTCACAAGAAAGTCGTAGTAATTCCTCATTCAGTATCTCTTCGTTTGGTCCACACTGTTTTGATCGATTCTGTTCGTTCCACGTACATACACGGTTGAGCCAGACGAAGAAATACCTCAGCTCACACAGTGTGTTCTTCCGATAATAACAACATTTCAAACAATTCCATCATCACCCTCGCGTTAATACCCCGTGTAGAGTAAGCCTAATGATAACACAACGAACAGTCCAACATTCAGTCCTGACCTAAAGCTATATTACCAATCTGCTACGCGTGGGCCAATGTTGGTCTGGTTAACTGTAACCGATATTTCCTTCTGCAAGTGGAGTCAAGCAATGCTGAAATGTTGCAGATCATCGAGAGGGCGCATCTCGTGAACCCCGTTAAACTCAAACTAACAGCCTTCCAGCCACACTAGGAGTGGCCGATCGGCAGCGTTATGATCTTGCACTGAACCAGTATCCCTCAATCGTTCAGTTGGTCCTGTGATCCAGTGTTGACTGGTTCAGCGAATAACGGCTGCTGAGATGAAAGCCACATGACACCTGTGAGACTTTCTTCCTTCCTTAGCAGACTATATGAGGTGGGCAAGCTAAGTTAGAAGGTCCACCTCGTGCTTAGTTCCACTATACGTTTCCGCTGTATAGCTCTGGTTGGAGTGTATAACCTGACTACACTCCTTTAAAGTACCAGATAAAAGCTAGTTCCCTTGGGAATAATTTCTATAAAGACAAGATAACAGCTGTAACAACTCAGGTTATGAAAAAATCAAGGGGGCTTTTTTTGCATTATTCAGAGTTTGGAAACGACCCTTTATGACATGTCAAAGGAAGGCCTTCGGTATCCGACGTTGGGCACGTGAAGCATCAGTAGGGGGCTAATATGACAGCCGATTAAGAGCCTCCCACATTAGGCACCAGCACAAAAGTGGATCAAGTAAGAACTAGTAGCTTCTTATTATTGTATCAAATTCACCCCCAAAGTCACAGCACAGTGTCAGAGGGTTTTTGCCAAATAAAGATAACGAAAGTGAACAACTCTGAGAATAATTGAAAGTTTATACCGTTCCAATACACAGTTCAGTGTTCGTAATGCTAGTTCCTACCGTCCCCGAGGAAAATAGAGCGGTGTACTTGGGATAAGTTTGAATGGAATATCAGTTAAACCTTGAGCGGAAAACTGATCTAACCGCAACTTGCGGGTGAGGAGACACGGAATCTGGCAATGTCTGTCAGAAGCGCTTAGGTTACATTTGTATGTTCATTGGCAGAGCACTACACTGAGGTGTTCTCGATGTCGGACGAATTCGTCAGATTATCGGTGCAATTTGATTAGGTGATACCCAAGAAGTCCGATGCCGGGTTAGTGTTTTTCATCTTTAAACGCTGTTTGCTTAAGCGTAAACGGTTTAATCATCCATTAAAATATTTTGGATAAATTTCACTCCCAACGTCCTAGATAACGGTTTATTTCGTATCGAACAATGACTGTCCTACTGGAAGGAAATTGTGGTGCGCATAAACTCTTTGTTTTAATGAGCTAGCGAGGTCCTTATCATCATCACGTTTCACTCCTTCCCTTGGGCGATCGAGAACACCAAAAACTGGACAAACAGATCTCGATAGAGGACAACATCGACTGACTCACTATCTAGCACGCGTTCGCCTGTCCACACTGGGACGTCCACTGTTCCTGAGGCGCTCACCATTTGACAGCATCAGTGCCCGACGATGCGCCCTAAAACGACGACGTTCTGCCTGAGCCAAGCGAATCAGTTCGTGTGTGTACAGTGGTCGAAAGAGAGCGATTCCAACCTGAAAAACCGCACACATAAAACCGATAGAAGCTGATCAAACTCGGGTTTTGCAAGTGAACAAACACCTGTCCGAAGCGGTCAGATTGTCGCAAACTGAGTGCCGAAAACAGCAAATCAATAACACTGTATAGAGCATGCACTGGTATAAAAGAATTTCATTTCCCCATTCTCGTGGACGCGGATTCCAGCTTTTCCAATGACAGCTCTTGTGGACTATGAGCAAACTGTCTCAAAACAGACAATTGCGGGAATCAGATCACAGGCTAACAGAATGTGTAAATTTCGAGCGAGATGGTTTGTATTACAGTCACAAAAACCCGTCACCAAACATCGGAAATCGTGATAAGCAGGACATTCGTGAAGAATCAAGCAAATTCCGCTAACAGGATGTTTGGCACACTATGCGAAACCTCACAGGATACAACGAATCCCACCAGGTTTGTGTTACAGATATAATCCTGAATTTTAGCTAAAGTTTCACATCGGAAGTAGTGATTGCCAACTACAATCCACATGAGCTGCTCTAAGCACAAACCTTGAAAGTGCAACGCAGTAGCAGATAATATGACAGTTAGTTGGACAGTCTACAATCGGAACCGCCATCGAAGACTGAGAGTTGACAGCTGTGATGGTGAGGGTGAACTACCAAGTTCGTGGACCACCGATGAAGCGATAATTTTGAAGACTGGTTTACCAGTGAGCGTACTCCAAAGCCGGTTTTGGAACCAGCCACGCCTCATCATCGGTAGTAAACACCCGTCACTCACACACCAACATCTTTGGTCTAAGCCCTCTTCAGAGATTTTGGGTCTTGGCGTATGTGTTTTGGGCGATTTATCCTTTGCAACCGTAAGACACAGCGCCCCGACTAGGAGCGACCTGGAAAGTCGACTTTGGACACATAAAAACACAGTAAGGGGGAAAAGAAGAAGGCCTCTGCTGCGGAGTTTTATTAGAAAACGCCAAGTGAACAGTTGCAGACTATTGGACAGGGAAGCAAAACTCTCATATGCATCTTGTTTACAAAACTGAATATTCATCTTCTCCTCGAACGCATCTTCCTAAACTTTTCTGGATATGCATTAACTGTTACTCGAATGCAAGCAAATGCGACTCCACGAATTTCGTAATAGATCACGATTTTCAAGAGAGGCGAAGCGGATTCACGAGAAAACATACTACTCGCTTGCCTCCATCAGTGGTATCCACCGTTACGACGGTAGACAACCGTATTTACAGTTGCATAGCCATCGGATACTGGATACAGCCTTCACGGAATCGAAATTATCCACGTCTTTCGAATGGTGGCTGATGAACTGGGTTCAATACAGCCCCAGATCATTACTTTAATCAATCAGAAACTACGGGACCCTTCTCGCAATCATTTGCGATGCTATGCAAACCAGTGATACTATGCGTTTGCTCGATTCGTTTTCCAATAAAACTGTTCATACTTCCTGGTGTTTCACGTTCACCAGCGTAGTCCCCAGGTTCCACAACAAATGGCTTGGAATTAGACTAATGTGATCGATTAGAGGATAAAGACGGGCGTGTACAGAGGTAAGTCCTAATAAGCAGGGGGTCCAGGAAACGATAAACAAAAGACGGACACGTGAGGTCTGACTGACGTTCGGGTATTTGGGACACGTTTTGAATTTGGCTTTGCTTCAGCCCACTGCAAAATGAACGGTCTTTTAGCATTAAGGCTGAGACCAGCTTATACCGGTCTGCAGTTTCCGGTTGGTCATGCGTATCGTCTGCGGCGTAAGGTCAACCATGCTGAACCCAATTCACGGGCAGTTGGTGTGCGGTATCTACCTCAATTCCGTCTGGTTGACCCCAGCTATCCCTATAGACTTGGGATAATGGAAACTTTAGTCGGAGCTGTTAGTTGGATATGAAACACAGGCGTGATACAATGGAACCAGATCGAGTGCTTATTTTCACTTCACTGAGAGGTCTTTGACATTTGAAGACCAGTCACATCGGATACATATCGAAAATAGTGTTTCTAAATCGATTACACCGGGCATCTTCAGACTACTTGAGCGATGAGAATAAGTCATAGCGTGCACTTATTGAAGTCGGTCTCAACTAAGGGTTCTGTCTCGCTGGATGTTTCCTCCTTAGTGAAGTTACCCTTCGGCGACCTTTAAATTCGTCGAGTTGTAATTTAAACATGCCACGGAGGTTTTTGTTTTCACAATTAAGGCAGACGTCCACGGTGGGTTAGTGCGTAGGGTCCATTTGTTCCAGAGAGATGGTTGATGGGTACCACTTTATGCGGTTAGGCATGGTTGACTCAAAAAATCGCATTTTGGTTTGTGTTTGTCTTACCGAAGGGGAAAAACACCTAATTCCAGATATGTTGAACTTGCTTCAGTTCTCGCTGGAGAAATTTAACAATCCGTCTTACCCTCACAGAAAGTTCATTTCTCGCAGCTTTCGCATAGACTTTCACTATCATCGACAGTAGAACATCAGTGTCCAACACTGATGCTTCGCTGCCGTACAACCATGATTTAGTTCAAAATCTCATTGTGAAGGAAAGAATAATAGTGAGCGGGGAATGGACTTAGTGCTAGTCTATCACAATCATTCCGAGGTGTCTACATCTCCAGACACCCATACAAAAACAGAACGTTACTGATATCGGTTAGCAGCCATATCTTGTAGCGTCTCTGACCACTCACAAGTGGGACCACCATGGAAGGCGAGTCGACCTTTCGTAGTCTCATACCTCCCTGCAGGTCAAGGCTTTGTCATTTCTCCGCTTCCGCCAGTCTGAATTGAGCGTGGAAAACAGCACTCTCTGCAGCAAACGGTGGATATGCAACACATAGCCTAACCAATGCAGTTCTTGGTGCTGGACTCATTCTTCTATGGAAGTCCTCGGTGCACGACCGAACATTTGCTTTCTAATGGCCTCGTTACACATTCGCCGACGCCCGCCTACACGAGCTGAGGTTCGGAGACAAAGGTTTTCGAATACCTGAAGACGACTCAGTTCCGCTGCTCAAACACATGGACTTCCACGTGCCATAAGATTCCGTTTTCCTACGGATACCTGAGAATGACCAAACCCATCAGCCGAACACCCGGTGTTGAACTGGGACCAAACTTAATTTGCTTAGGATTGGCACCATGCCTGGCGGGTGCGAAGCACCACCAGATCCGTGGTGGTGCTCGTGACCCACAGAATCACAGTCAGAAAACGCAGTGTCATTCACAGATATCTCCCACATTCTTTCTGAAGAAATTTCGTGCGAATTCAACCATTCTTGAAGGATCACGTTGCACACGAAAAACAATCGTACCATCACAAACCTCGATTGCGGGTAGATCAAGATGTAGGGTTGCATCAAATGCAACGACAAATCAACTAGTCTGTCGTTAACTCGGTCGATTGCTCCCAGGTAAGTCGGCTGACTAGCATACTACTTGCAGGATTTAGTCCGTTTTACTTGAGACCGTGCCGGTTGGTGAATGTGGCCAGAGCTTAGAGAATTTGACAATGTACATTGGTGGCGCAATCGAATTTGATGGATAAAAACACGCAGACACAGGGGAAGGTCTTGATTCCATTGACAAAACGTAATCAGGATTGTGGTTTAGCGGTAGATAGACGTAGGCAGTTGCAACGGTCGGTCGGTTGCTAACTGGGTGGTTGAGTAAGGCTCAGTTTTCAATATGACCGTTTCGAGGTGTGGTTTCGCCCGGGTTAGTGGTAAATGCTGGCTTAGTGGAACGTACAAGGTGATCTCTCAGACGGAAAGGCACCGATTTCTTTATTTTACTTATTAGTCAGATCCGGTAATTGTTCATGAATGAATCGGCCACTTGTTCGTTTGACAATGGCTGTTGGAGTCTAGTAACCCGCCAAAGCGTACTAGCTGCGAGGGTGAATGAAATGGCACTCTAACGTAACTAGCCGACGTCAGAGGAGGCCAAAACTAGTATTAATAATATAAGGGATTATTGTCGCTTCATGTGCGATCAACCGGTATTGACCGACCACTGGAAGAAAAGATGGGGTTTTCTATAGAGGACAATGTCGGTACCACAGGTAGCGTAGATGGGCAATTTGGTTGCAATCGAGGTGGGGTCCCGGTGACCCCGTCTGTGCTTGGCTGGAGACGCTGCAAGAAATGGCGGCTAATCGATGTCAGTGGCGTTCGTGCTGTCAGTTTGTTTCCAGATTGTCAGATTGAGCGGTTGAAGGTGTAGGCACCTCAGTATGCTTGACATAGGTCCCCTCCCTCACCCACTCTTCAAACCTTATGGTTGTATGGCAGTGAAGCATCAGTGGCAACACTGATGTTGCTGTCTTTGATGATGATGACTGGAAGAAAAAAATTTACCAAACCAAATATTAGCCAGTCTGAGAGCTTGATATGACGAAACAGTAACTATACTGTAGTGAGTAGGGTTGGGTCTACGGCCGAACTATAGTCAAAAAGCGAGCTGAGCGCTCGTTACAAGTCAAGCAACCGAGTAGTTGTTCCATCCATACGACGAACAGTATTGAGGTCAACAGACAGGGTCGGTAGTGTGTGCTTATATCGTACAAGTGTTGTGATCGCTCACCCTAAACATGAACTCGCAACTCAATGTTTTTGATTGTAAAACCATTCCGACTGACACGAGCTGGATGCGTAACACAGCGGCCGCGTCTGTGCTGACCTTCGTCAGGTGACTCGCGATCGCTAGTGTTGGTTCACATGTGGCTTGAAAATAAGTATGATAGGTATATAAGTCGCAGCACCAACAACAAGAGGGCACGCACTCTTATACGCATTGCTCTTGTTGTAATATGAAATTATAGTGTTGATTCTCGTGATGATAGGGTACTTTAGGTCACCGGTACATAATTCAACATAGTCGGACAAAATATTGCATCGTTCGACGGGATTAGCCGGACTACTTAGGGCAACAAGCTGCTAAAAACATCCTTGTGCTGTTAGCCTAAGCTACACAAATTGTTCGGGTACAGCATTGATAATATTAGTAGTGTGGAATGAGAAGAAGCAGAAGTATGGTGCTGATGAACATTCCCTCGCCATAATCTCAGCCCTACATGCAATCGGTTGTAATGTCGACTTTTTAATTCACCAACCGATGATCATCTCTTATCGAGGGATCTGCTTTCCTCAATCCGCTAAGGCTTTTATTGGACTGGGACTTCCTAAGGTCGCAGTCATCGACTTGTGTTGGCTTGCTGTTGTGGGATCTCTGCGTACTCATGACACTTTTATGCGTGGTACATGGCGTTGAATGTACATTTTTGCCACTTAATCGCACACCAAACCCAGTATGACGGACACTTTGTGCCTGAAGTGCGAGTCTTGATTGTGCTAGCGCCTACCACACCTTGAAGAGCATTCACCATTGTTTGTCCTTTCTTCGGTTGTTGGTCTTTAGACGCGTGTTTCCATATCAAAATCTTTACATACTTTGGGATTCATCTCATCAGACTGGAACTGTTCTTGGCATGATTTCGAATGAGACGTTTCTCTTTTTTCCCCCATATTCTCTTGTTATTCTTTCGCATCCATCGCTTGCATTCACTCTTTATGTTTGTGACCATGCTCTTCAAAAATAAATGATAGTAGTACAATACGACGCCTAACCGCCATACAACTATTATGAAGAAAGAAATCCCTTGTAAACAAAGCCAAGAGGTCTTGTGTGTTTAGGGAAAAAGGTCCCCACACCTTTGAACCACGTTGAAATAAAACCTATCAAACCGCCATACTTCCGTCGGAGTGACCCAGTATCGTACGCGAACGTCACTCAACATAAGCTCGGTACAAAACGATTGATGAATCTTAGCGAGGCAGTTCGGCTGGAAAATGATAGCATGTACGCCACTAGGACCAATTATGTGAAAGGTTTCACAGACTTTCCCAGCGCGTGCAAGGGGGAACACGCAGACACAAGCCAGGAAAGTGTGAAGACTCCACGGTACTCAGTTTGATTGTGAACACATTCATTTCACGCAAACAGCTCGGAACGGGAGGTATCGCGTTCTTCGGCAGAGAATGATCGGACATGCGTAACATACGCCCCAACTACCCTCAACCGCTAAGTTTTATTTGCTGATTCACTGACGAATCCCCGCCTATACAACATTCGGTTGCACACTCACCGCAGTCAGTCAAGTCTTGCTACGCTACGGAGACGCCGGTGCTCAAATGTCTGAAGACACTCAAGATGCTTGGATTGGAGGGGCAAAGTTTCGAAACCATAAACACTTGCTACCTGGCTGGTGGCCACGGATCGAAATACCCCAGGGGCGTTCGCTCATGGGCATTGGTTACGCCGAACATGTTGCTCTTCTTGGATCAAACTATTGTAATTAACCCAAATAACTTCGCAATTGTAAATTGTAGTGTTACTGCAGAATTAGGTGGGACCGAACCTGGAACTCATACTTTCAGGTCAACCGACCAACATGGCCGATAAGTTCTTCTATTTGGGTAGCTGAATAAGTCCCAGCGGACAGGCGAAAGACGAAATCACTTTCCAAAGTGAGGAGGACAGGGCAGCATTTCTCAATCTCCGACGTTTGTGGCACCGACATGATATCAGCCTGATTGTCAAGGGCAGAGTGTACAAAGCCGCGGTCCGATCTGTCTTAATGGATTAGGCTGACTAGACCACGTACTTCGTATGCCAGAGAACGGTTTGCACCTAATGGCTCACTTCACCTGGTGTTGCGTCGGATGGAGACGACCAAAGGATGGTAAGTCCAAGACTTGCAAACGAAGCAAGGGAGCCCTTACTTGTCAACTGAGTTGCGTTGGTAACTGCCCTCTCCCCGGATGGAGACCACCGTTAGTGATCTTGAAAGATATGGCTGTGTCACGCAGCCAATGATGGTGTCGCGTCAAGGCTACGGTCGTCACTGCGCAGTTCTCACTTCTCGCCACATCGGACAAACGGATCTGTCATCAATACAGCCGTCTCCCTCAACATATGGTACTCATTCTTTTATTCTCTTTGTCCTCAGTGAACGAAATGAACTTTGGTGCACTGGAAAGTTAGATTAGACTGAGCGGAACTGATTCTACAATGTCTGTGGCAACGGCACCTGATGATATATTTGATTCCAACGCTGCTCAGTAGCGGTAGCACAGCGGTTCTCAATGGTTACTACAAACCTGCGGACGCCCACCACTATCACTATCTTTTACACCGACTAAATATACTACAAAGATGTGTTATAATGAACTAAGAAGCCCCGCCTGTGTGACAAAACTTCCTGGGATAAACTCCGGCCTCTTCTGGCCAGTATAGGCAACAATGACTTCCACCAAACGATCAGTTCTGATCAGACAGTGAGTCGACCATGTTCAGGGGGTTTTGTAGCCGATCTCACTTTATCCAGAGGCGTAACACTAAACCTGGACACGGGAGAAAATGTTCATCACTCATCGACATAGCAAAAAACAAGCAGCAATCGTCGGGACCGTGATGTTGAATAATGCCCCAAAATAGGATGAATTTTCGAATAAAGCTATTCCCAAAGATGGCCTTAAATCACCTTCGGTGCGACGAAGTTTCAACCTTCGAAATACTAACTCTACGTTTTACATGTTTTCTAGAATGTTGTCACTGTCTTGAGCTACACATATTTTGTACATACACATATTTTGTTAGCGACTGGTGAGTAAAGAAAAAGTTGAAATCTCACCGTCTATGTCCCTCGACGTTTTGACAAATTGGATTTTAACGCATCCACCATAAACACGAGAACCAAATGCTGAAGATTCACTGCGCCCAAATGGAAAATTATTTAGAAAGGTCGTGACAAGAAGAAAATTTAAAAAAGCTGACTCACAACCAAAACAAACTTACCAAAGCCTGACAAAAGAGTCCTGCTGTGATTACCAGGGCACCTCGCCACGTCATCGAATCGCACAGCCAGCGCGTAACAATTGGAAGAATACCCGCCCCGAACCCATTGCCACACATGGCGAGACCAACGACAAAAGCTCGATGCTGATCGAACCAGTGGCCGACAACAGTGATGGCAGGGAGGTAGACAAGTCCGCAACCAATACCTACAAGTCCAAGTGAGTGCATATTGACCAACAGTCAGGATGATTTTCACATCGATGTTGTGTATTGGGCAAAAACTTTGACCATCCTCAAGAAGGTGTTACATTTGGCAACTACTGAATAAATATACAAGTGAAAATGTTGTAACACCTCGTTACACTCGCGATCGGAAATCGGTGTGTGTGAAGGGTCAACATGCGACTGGTGTGAGTATTTTAATAAAAGCGCCACATATGAATGATAATAGTGGAAAGTGCTTAACCAACTGAGTGATACACCACTGACGTGAACTTGCAGATGAAAGCTGTTTAGGCACAATCAAGCAAACTAGGACCGGTCCAATGGACATGACGCTTAGAACATTGTACGTAAATAAAACTTCACCAAAGGATCCAACTCGCCTTCCAAGGAGAGCAGCAAGTGGAGATAGGTTACTCCCTATACAAGTTTAGGTCCTGTGCAAAAAGTAAAAGTCAGAGACCCAGCGTGGAACTCATGCGCCGCACAGTAAGGGGGTCGTTCGAAAGTAACCAATACAGCGACTAGCGATGGCCAGACACAAACAATTGTCTTCAGTAGGAACAGAAAGGGACGCATTATTTGGTAACCACAAGGACGTAGCCCAACACGTGACCGCGCACATTAGGATAATACGTTTAAGCGCCCCTACGAACTGACAGGTTCGCAAGGAATACAATAGAGAACCGATGAGGGACAGAAGGCCTCTAAGTATAGAGATTTGATCCTGATTCACGAATGGGTAGGGAAGACTAAAACCGATGATTCACCTCTGGAAGCGTTAACCAGTCTTGTCCCAAAATTTCAGTTTATATGTGGCAACGCATACGGATATTATTGATTACAATCCCTCCCGAGAAATAGGGACACCCGTAGGACCAGTTCAAAGAGGCTTACCCTGGGTTCTCATTCGACCAAATTCTTAACTTTATATAAAAACCGAATGAGTATTAAGGGGAATAGTCAAACGTTGTATACGTACGTATCATATACGTATCATACATACGTATCATATCGTATATACACGCTTGAAATGATTCCCAGACAGTGGACAGTAAGGACAGGATTCTAATGAAGACCTTAAATTCAAATTTGATCGTTAAATCTCGACTTTCCTCGTAGTCCTGAAACCAGTCTCCTTTTATTCTGTTCCACCTTCCCCTCAGCTAATTCATTGGTCATCATGGGGTCTAACATTGCAGAAACAACATTATCTACGAATGGTATTCGGGAGAAATAACTCATCATCGATAGATGAACTGATCACTACATCTGCACAGGTTGCGCTGGCTTGGCCACGTGCTGCGTATGCCAGTCGACCGACTTCCTGGAAGGGTTCTTTTCGCACAACCATGTGAAGGGTGAAAGAGAGCCAGAGGTGGTCAAACAATGACTTGGGAGCGAAGTATGAAAGCCATTACCAGCAAACTCAGCTGCGCTGGTCATTGCCGTGTTCCTGGATGGGGACCCCGAGACGGGCCACATCAATGGCTAGAGACATTGTCAGACATGGCCCAGTCGCGCCCTCAATGGCGCTCGTGCATCCAAGCTATTGCCTTCAATGCATAGCTCCTTTTCCAACACCCCCCCCCCACTTGACAGCCCACTGACAGTGCTGGATTTATGCACCAAATTACCAGCTCGCGCTTGCAATGCGCAGCTATCTACCCCTCCCCCCAAATCATTGGGGAACGAAATTGCGGCAGCTACAACCAGTGTACGACGAGTACGCGGTTCTTACAGCCGACGATGATGATGACGAAAAAGTAGTGAACGTGGATTCCTCAAACATGTGTATTCGCATTTTGCTCAACTGCCAAACCCTCCTATTTAGACAGAATTCAACAATGGGAAAATTGAATTTCGCCTCGTCGCAATGTGCGCCAAAGAAATGCACGTTCAGCTGTAACACCCTTTCAGTGCCTAGCTGTCATGCCACACGAAGGAAGCACGAAGGCTGGGATATTGTCAGGTTGCCCAAGCCTAGACAGGGGAAGTCGAGAGGCACAGGTCGGGTTCGAACCACGGACCTTCTGGTCAGTAAATTCGCGCTCTAACCACTTGAGTCATCTCGCATAGCCAATGCTCGATACTGGTTGAACCCAGACTGAATTGTCAGCTTCTAGAGATTATTCTCCGCTTGCGGCATCAGAATAATCCGCTTGTATTTAACTTGAATAGCCTACCTGATGACCGGTCTTGGAGAGGAGTTAGTGTTCTACAAGGTAGCATAAATAGATAGGATTCGCGTGCAATAAACTCATATAAAAATTAAACTTGTGTGGCATTCGGAGGCAAAGCAATACACTCCTAATTTACCAGTAGGAATTGGAGGCACATGAACTGAGACCCACATGATCGATTAGATTGCTTTCATTAAACATCGGGTGGATAAAAGTAACGGCTTCACGACCCGTCTGCGACACTACAACCCTTCAACTGATAATCAATAAGAGTTAACGATTAGCCCATCACCGTCATTTGACTAGAACTAGAAGAGATTGACCATCTTCGAGGATCAGATAATATCAGGAATTAGTGCGAAGATAATCGGTAGATCTGAAACCTGGCTTTTGTACAACCGTCCGCACCACAGGTACATGGATATCGATCACCGTGCCAAATAGGGTCCGCCCTTTTTATGAGTAGTGGGGTCAAAGGAACCAGAATTTTCCGGTTCCCTTTGAGGGCTTGACATCTTACCTTCCAGTCTAATGTAAAATCCGCAAGACCGTAACGAAGTGGACTGTATTAAGTAGGGGGGCAGTATATAAGTACACATTCCTAACATGGCAATATAAAAAACAAGAAGCTTTGCGACAATACAGTAACGATTTAGGGTTACTGTCCTTTGATGATACGTCGGAACGATCGACAGTAACCGACATCCATGCACTGTGTACAAAATGAGTTGTGACCTGTGATTAGTTCGAACTTGACGTCCGCGCAAAGCGCTGACGAGGTTGAACATGAAGCAACCTAGTTAATATGACCTTAAAACGTTGGATATTGGATAAGTGTTGAACTAATTCGGTTCGGTTGAAGGTCTTTGGTACGAAAGGAATAAAACAACTGCCTAGCCGTTAAGGTCATTCACTACTGGAGATCGATAAGAATGGGAGTTAGCTAATTGGCTTTTCCCTTCAATACACACACGCATCCGGACACCTGCACTTTTCACAACTGTTCACAACGGCTGTTAGAAGAATCCCATAACAAGTAACCAGCTAACGCAATACGCGCCTAGTGTGGGAGATAACAAGCCAAGTAGTACTTACCTCCCAAAAGTCCGAAGGTAATTGCGAACCAATTGAGATCGTAAGTGATCAATGCGCTTGAAAGAATGCAAACGGTTGCTATCACCGCACCCACTACAGCAACCGAGCGATAGTCGAAGCGGTTGACCAACGCGCCAGCAACTGGACCTTTAAGGTAAGGGCAAATCACACATGACTGGAGTGCGGACTTCGAACAGAATGTGATGTAGGTTTTAAGAGAAAAAGGGGTACAAATGGCCAACTTGAACAGCGCGCGACAATCGGTAATCAGTTATAGAGTTACGATGCTTTTCAAGGGTTGACGAATACGGGTCGGAAATAAAGAATGCCAATTAAGAAATGCTGGGATGTGTGCTCACGGATGAGCGTATGTTGCACAGTCGAATGACAATGCGGAGCTCAGAGGCTCAGATACTGGGAGTCCAAATCAAACTCCTGAGTCGGTCTACAGATCCCAGTTTATCTGAACATTATGCATGCTCCCGGCCATTTCTGTTGTAACAGTGGAAAGTCACATCCACTATAGTCTGTTCCACGTTATTAATGAGAAGAAAATACAAATCTGCTATCCGGATGAGGACACCTATTGGTGGGTGCATTTCGAACTAGAATTCAATCAATCACTTCAATTTACCAGCTATTCCAGCTGCTACAGTTTTGATCACCGGAAAACGGGAAAGTGGAACATGCAACCAAGACTTAGAGGTGAAGGCATGTTCGGTTTTCATAGAGGAAACTACTCACAAGGTTGCAAAGGAACCAGAATTTTCCGGTTCCCTTTGAGGGCTTGACATCTTACCTTCCAGTCTAATGTAAAGTCCGCAAGACCGTAACGAAGTGGACTGTATTAAGTAGGGGGGCAGTATATAAGTACACATTCCTAACATGGCAATATAAAAAACAAGAAGCTTTGCGACAATACAGTAACGATTTAGGGTTACTGTCCTTTGATGATACGTCGGAACGATCGACAGTAACCGACATCCATGCACTGTGTACAAAATGAGTTGTGACCTGTGATTAGTTCGAACTTGACGTCCGCGCAAAGCGCTGACGAGGTTGAACATGAAGCAACCTAGTTAATATGACCTTAAAACGTTGGATATTGGATAAGTGTTGAACTAATTCGGTTCGGTTGAAGGTCTTTGGTACGAAAGGAATAAAACAACTGCCTAGCCGTTAAGGTCATTCACTACTGGAGATCGATAAGAATGGGAGTTAGCTAATTGGCTTTTCCCTTCAATACACACACGCATCCGGACACCTGCACTTTTCACAACTGTTCACAACGGCTGTTAGAAGAATCCCATAACAAGTAACCAGCTAACGCAATACGCGCCTAGTGTGGGAGATAACAAGCCAAGTAGTACTTACCTCCCAAAAGTCCGAAGGTAATTGCGAACCAATTGAGATCGTAAGTGATCAATGCGCTTGAAAGAATGCAAACGGTTGCTATCACCGCACCCACTACAGCAACCGAGCGATAGTCGAAGCGGTTGACCAACGCGCCAGCAACTGGACCTTTAAGGTAAGGGCAAATCACACATGACTGGAGTGCGGACTTCGAACAGAATGTGATGTAGGTTTTAAGAGAAAAAGGGGTACAAATGGCCAACTTGAACAGCGCGCGACAATCGGTAATCAGTTATAGAGTTACGATGCTTTTCAAGGGTTGACGAATACGGGTCGGAAATAAAGAATGCCAATTAAGAAATGCTGGGATGTGTGCTCACGGATGAGCGTATGTTGCACAGTCGAATGACAATGCGGAGCTCAGAGGCTCAGATACTGGGAGTCCAAATCAAACTCCTGAGTCGGTCTACAGATCCCAGTTTATCTGAACATTATGCATGCTCCCGGCCATTTCTGTTGTAACAGTGGAAAGTCACATCCACTATAGTCTGTTCCACGTTATTAATGAGAAGAAAATACAAATCTGCTATCCGGATGAGGACACCTATTGGTGGGTGCATTTCGAACTAGAATTCAATCAATCACTTCAATTTACCAGCTATTCCAGCTGCTACAGTTTTGATCACCGGAAAACGGGAAAGTGGAACATGCAACCAAGACTTAGAGGTGAAGGCATGTTCGGTTTTCATAGAGGAAACTACTCACAAGGTTGCTGAAAACTCTTCAACAGCCCACGACCGGTTTCGCCCTTCTTGGGGCTCATCAGGTAGGCGCAGTCCCCGAGTTTCCGTCAACCTTATGTTCTACTTGAACTCAAATTGGACTGTTTTCGGACTGTTCGGTTTGTTCGGAAATTGGGTAGCTACGCATTGAAGGCGATAGCTTTGATGCACGAGCGCCACTGACAGCGCCATTGGGCCATTTCCGCCAACGTCATTAACCACTGGTGATTTGAGTCCCGGGGTCCCCATCCAGGGAGGCGGCAGTTGCCCACCGGACTAAGTTTACTGGTCAGTGTTTCCGTACTTCGTTGCCAGATCATACACGATTGGAACGATTTGCATGACAGTTCAGCTGAATTCAGCTGACAATACCGACACATCTATGGGCGATAGAAGGGATACGGAACCAGTCCACAACAAGCTCAGATGACAAGATAGGTGTGTATGGACTTCGAAAACCCTTGAAGGAACTTCACCACAGCGAACACAGAGCTGTTCAGTGACTTGCTGGAGATAGTTCGGTAAAAGGACTGTTCATTTACGGGAGCACTGAATGTCAATTGCAGTCCGAGGAGGGAGAAAAGTGACTCCGGAAAAACCCTCCAGTCGCATACGGATGGCGATTTGGATTATAAAAACCAGTGGAGTTTAAGCACACTGAAATAAATGGAATTTACATCTGATAACGCAGCGTCCGTTGTACACCCAAAGGACGATCACACCCAAATTTAACGGAATCTTCCTATCTGTCCGAGCGTCCTGATAAATGCTGCGAAATGTTTGGCAGGGAACCAAGAACACGTGCAGCGACGCACGTGCTATTTGATAACATGGGGCACTAGGTGCAGCAAAGCCTAAGTTGATTGTGAAAACCAGTCAGAACAGCTAGCAACTATTCAAATAAGACGTAAGGCTACCCGACGAATTGCACCAATTACAGGACACAAGAAGTGGGACAACATACAATCATTTTTAACCAGAAGTCTACGCCATAAAAGGTGGAATTGCGGGGAAACGAGTATGGGCACTTTTCGCCGCTAGCACTTCAGTTTGGACAGTTAATAGCCCGTTCGCTGAGCCTTTCTGGGGTCGACAAACAGGCCAACAATTATTGATTCCACCCGATTTATCAATATTCTGCAGTGTCTCCCAACTGCAATTTAGATCGGTGTAAAATGGAATCATTGGCGTTTGACAGTTTGTCACGTGAGGTATTTCGGGACGAGTGTGGGGAATAGACAGTGCTTAACGAATATACACTCATTTGCAAGCTAATATGGTTTTTCGAGAGACTCACCTGGAACCCAGATGAATCTCTCGTTTGTGATGTTTCCAGGCAACTGAATGTGCTGCACCAGGCCGCCTCATGTTTCAGTCGCTACGATATCCGTAGCAGGTAGTTGTGAAAACGGAACAGGCCAATTATAGTTGAAGAGCGCAAGGTTAGTACACAAACAAAAAAGTTGCAACTTATATTTCAGTGTATAACTCACGGCCGCGTGATCACGTGACGTGTATGTCCCAATAACACTCGAAATATCACTCACTAACAGAAATCTGATCAAACATCTAGTGTCTCGAACGCAACGCGTTCAACAAGTCCGATTAAGTGTCCAGCAGCTGTTGTTGACCGTTCGCTCAAGACGTGCTTCGAAGTGTCTGTTGCTAACCATAGCTTACAAGAAAGGATTGTCAGATGAATCTACTGCTGTATCTGACCATAACTATACACTTCTTTTGCAGTTGCTTTCTGCACATACGGTAGAATTCCCCAAAAGGAACGAAAGTATGTAAGGAAGTAGTTATACTGAAGGAAAAAATAGAATAAACACATTAGACAGCCTCCACACACGCCAACCACTCGACTGAAAAATGGGTTTCGCATGCGACTGACTGTGCTAGACTGAGATGGCACGAGAAAGACGGCATTCGCAACAAATGATTGGCATAGACGGTTCTAGCAGCCCAGCGGCCATCAGTGTTACAAGTACTTTGCATGAGAGAAGAATTTGCGGGGAGGACGTCATAAACGAAAAACGGGCAAGAGACCACACGAACGTGTAGAACTCGACCACAAAATCAAACGTATTGTACCAAGTGACTTACCAATGAGCAACGTGATCCCTGATAACAGTGCTCCAGGGAAACTAAGACTAGCAAGGGAAAGATGTTGGGCCGCGGAGCCTGAAGTCGAGGGATCCACAAAGACTTGACTTTCAGCTACCATCTCGTACATGTACAACCCATACGAGTGGCAAAGCCCGTCAACAATGAATATGCACATAAAACTGCCGAGGATGACTAGCCAGCCCCATTCGCCATTCGGTGCGGAATCGCAGAGAGCAACTGGAGAAACGACAAAAGCAGGTCATCGGATGAGGAGTTGGCAGACAATGACAATATCCATTACAATTTTCAATGCGGGGTATCATAAAGTGGTGAAGTACTCACGCAAAGGCAATCAACTGGTAACTTGGATTTAGACAAACACAACAGAACTAACTTCGCCGTATCGACTGGAATAAAAGGAGGTCGTAAAAAGGGGGTCTTGGAAGGGCATAATTTTGAACCAAACTAGCACCCGTAATCCAAAGGAAGGAGGAAGCACGAGGACTGAGTTACTACCAGGTTGCCCAAGCCTAGAAAGGGGAAGTCGAGAGGCAGAGGTCAGGTTCGAACCACGGACCTTCCAGTCAGTAAATTCGCGCTCTAACCACTTGGCCCATCTTGCCCAAGCACCCCTAATACATCCTACATTCTATGTGGCGTACACCCCGACATGTTCTGCGCAAAGAAGTCGTACCAAAGAGAACGTGGTCATCTTGCAAAAACTTATCCTGGAATGACTGACTTCGGTGTATCATGGCAGAGCACTATCATCAGAAAAAATGCATATGCATTTCGAATTCAAGGTGAGATTTTTTAACGCAGATTAATGGTACATTGGGATGAACTCCACTTATATGTCCACATGCATCCCCAAAGCCAATCTGGACGCATTGCAATAACCCCGAACCGGATAAAAGCTCCAGTGCGCCATCCAAACGAGTACTTCTCATAGTCAATGACTAGTCAATGATTAGGCGAATTGGGCTGGTACCCTCGAAAGCAGATAAGCAACGGAAGCCTCACCTTGAACGTGTGTAACGGAAGTCATCTACAAGGAACCTAGAAACAACCAATTAACCTAGAATATATCCTGTTGAAACAAACTAGAAACTATCGGTTTTCGAATGGATCACGAAACCAGGTTCCAACGATGCGTACCTATCTCTCAGTATAGGAAGGAGTGGATAGCAGTCACAGGTCCACTTAAGAAGGAACCTACTTTGGAGGTGTGTTGTAAATGACGGAAAGCGGATGAAACTGATTTCGATATAAACAGGGTACCCTAGTTCAGTTCAGCTGTAGCACCCTTTCGGCACCTAACCGCTATGCCACCAGAAAGGAGCACGAGGGCTGAGTTACTACCAGGTTGCCCAAGCCTAGAAAGGGGAAGTCGAGAGGCAGAGGTCAGGTTCGAACCACGGACCTTCCGGTCAGTATATTGGCGCTCTAACCACTGAGCCATCTCGCCACCATCTGGCTTTGTCGATTGAAAATCAGCAGCATCAGTACCGATAGCAATACACCAGTAGTCCATACTGATACTCTAACGCTATACAAACACCAAGGAAGAATGCACTATAAAAAGCCGAAACAAGGGAAAAGGGAGTTGAAGTGAAGAGGCCTCGTGCTCTTAGGGAAAGTAGTCAAGAACGAGCCGTCCGCATCTCCAAACACCAATTAAATGAACACATCTGAGCATTGCGTCAGATGTTCGTCGTCATGAATTGACAAGAATGTTACCTCAGTCAACTGGCACGAGAACTAAAGCACAAAAATGAGTATCATACCATTACAAGACTAGTCCACAGTGTCCTCTTGTTGAGAGTCCGGTGCTATTCTTTGTTCCTTTCGCCTTGAAACCTCCATAACTCACTTCGCTATACTTCTGATGAGGGTATGGATGAAATCCTGACTGACGATTCTCTAATCTTGCTCGACGGAAGCCAATGACTCAGTTTTGGTCATCTGCCGCCTTTGTAACTTAGTACATTCGCTGTAATAGTGTACTATACGGGTGGAACTGAACAGCATGACTTAGCTAGTTCAACATATTCATTAGATAGAAGAGAATCGTTTTTTTAACGATTTTAAGATGGTGTACCGGTCATGAAATACGAATCCAACCCTCTTGTCTACCAATGGTAATGAGTAGCAATACCAAGTACTCCAGTGTCTCGATGCAACCATCATTTACGGCAATCATTCCGTGCGACTGGGGTTTCTCATTTCGCAAACAAAAATTACACTCCAGTCCAGCACCACCTGCCTTAGATTGATTTTCTCTATACACGTGTAATGCCTAGAATACTTCCACATCGTGTCTATTGATATGAAAGTCCTTCTCATCACCACTGTTGATACAGTTCCATCGGTGACTCTAAGTGACATGATTCGGTTCGAAATAATAGTGCGAGGCCGTTTGAACGCACTGTACTGCGTCGGGACCGCTCAAAGTACATTCACTATTACAGCAAACGTAATAAGTTACAAAGGCATATAAGCAAAACTGAGTCGTCGGCTGCCCTCGAACAAAAAGAGAGAATCGACAATCGGGATTTCATCCATACCCTCAGCGAGAATACAGCGAATTGAGTTGTACAGGTTTCAAGGCGAAAGAAACAAAAAATATCATCGGAATCTCTCTGAACAAGAGGTCATCGGGGAATGGCCCTGTAACAGTGCTGTGCCCCCTTTTTGTGTTCTGATTCTCCCTTCAGTTGTAAACTATGACACTGATTTCGAACGGGAACTGTCATCCGCTAACCAAAATTCATTCAATTCCATCACATGTGTGAGTGAAAACATGGCGCAAAACACGGGTAGTCCTGTAGTTTAATCATGGGGTGTATTTTGTTCAAGACCTCAAGACAGCTCAGTGGGTAAGGCGCGAACTTATTGACCAAAGGGTTCTTGATTAGGAACTAACCTCGGTATCTCAACTGCTCCTGTCCAAGTTTGAGCAACCTGGTAGTATCTCAGGCCTCGTGCTTCCGTTGGATGGATGCATGGCAGCTATGAACCGGAAGGGTGTTGCAGTTGAATGACCATTAGTATATCTATTATTCCTTTTACAATGGACCATGAATTCGGCCAGAGCAGAGAGGCATAGAAACTCGAAGTCTCCAGCAAACTCATCTTGTTGGGGTATATTGTAACAGGCATCCGTAAACGGCTGACGAAGTTCAAGTACAAGTGCCCCATCCTCCAAACTGAAGATTAGTCACGTGAAACCCACTGTCCATTTGGCATCCAATTTCCGTCTGAGCGAAGTAAGAACTGATCAACTGCCTTTAGAAAACCTCAAGCACCATGTATCCCATCACTGGAGTGATGACAAGGATGATCAGGTCTAGCGCTTGGCTAATGCCTCATATATAACCAGGAAACCTGCGAATGGCCCATTTACTTCACATGCAACCAGATCATACGTGCAAGAACATCAAAAAGAGAAAATATCCTAAAGACGGGTCTCGAAGTCAGGTTTTAGTATATGTCACAACGCTCCCCAAGAAATGCCCCTCAATTTATCGGCTTTCTATACGATCGGAAAGAAGTAGCTCGCGGAATGAAAAGAAAGAAGGCGTTCCGCTGTAGCATCCTTGTGGTGCCTAGCTGTCATGCCACCCGAAGGAAGCACGAGGGCTGGGATACTGCCAGGTTGCCCAAGCCTAGACAGGGGAAGTCAAGTGGCGGAGGTCAAATTCGAACCACGGACCTTCCGGTCAGTAAATTCGCGCTCTAACCACTTGGGCCGTCTCGCGGAATGCACGAATGAAGAAGTTCTCCAGAGTTTTAACTATGGGCAGAACAACGCGGTGTGTCTTGAAAATCCGTGTAGAACAACTGATTGAAGGTACACTATGTTGGTTGGTGGATTGTGGATTTCAGAGCGAATTACAAGGTCCTGAGACTAATTTCGAATTTTGTTATCTTTATGTTATCGTATGCGCATGTACTTTAGACAGCTGGGGTGGACGTGAAGAGTATGACTACCAGTTGAAAACAGATGAAAACCAAATTAAAAGGCCCATTCCGTTTTCGGCAGTACTGATACCTTAACCGAAACGGGATGCACTTCTTCTTGTCCATAAGCAGTCGCAAACATTTGCATAAAAATCGGAAAAGCGGAAACCGACTGTAACTGAAAAGTTGCCATATTTCAGTGTTGTACTTCATTTACTAAAGATCCCTAATGCAGTAGTGTCTGACAGTGTGCGTATCGTATCCCCAATTGTCATGAGGCGGACCCCGTTCATTCTCAGCTAAAGAACTCCGACTCAAACGTAAGTTGGTTGGAGGAGTGCTTTTGTTTCGGGAAAAGCCACTATTCCTTAGGAGGAGAACAAACTCATTTTCGGAGGATATCCGTACGACTGAGGCTGTTTGTGAAGTTCGTTTACGCCCTAACCAACCAGGTACACATAAAGCAGCATTACTGTGCAAGAAAGTGGACAACGGTAAGAAAGCCATTTCATGGTTGGAGAAGCTCCGACGCGATAAAAAACTACTGCATCTACCGCAGTGCGATGATCGAGTCATCAACATCATTGACAGCTATACATCAGTAACACAGAGTAGCGTTTAATTCCCAAGAAAGACTCAGACAAGCTACCAGCCGGAAGGTTTCTATGTTCACACCATCAAAATGTGTACGAAAACGTGATAAAGGTCAACAAATTACCGGTTTGTGCCATAGTGAGAACATCGGAGTATCGGGGCTGGATTGGACGTTCTCCATTATCAGCCTGAACTGGAGAAACTGAGAGACAAGTGTTCAGCTGTTCGGGGTTCTCCACTTGGAGTGAGGAATACTGGTCGCCGGCATGCTGGATTGGAAAACGATCGGAATCGGTTCTGTGGAGGACAATAGGTGGTGTACACTGGGAAGACCTTGGAAGCCGAGAAGTATCGGAAAGATTATCTGTGGCTAGCGGGAGTTCGACGGTGAGTGAACACTGCAAAGGATCAGCTGAGGTTAGTGATGAGTAATTGGCTGGATGAACGTCAGTGAACAAAACTGAAGAGCAGGACTTGGCATTATACTTGGGAGACGATCCCTCTTGGTCGAAATTGCCAATGTAAAAGTTTCCCAAAGAGAGGTGCCCGGCGGTTGTTAGATTATCCAACTTGCTATGATGGATAGCCGTGGGTTGCGCTGGCCCTGCGAGCATAGTAGATACGCTCGGTTAGGTTGTGATTCCAGTAATGCTGTTGGCAGTAAGAAGAAGGCAAAGAATAACAAAGTATTTGCCCTAGTCTCCTCTCAAATAATCAACAAACCAAGTACAAGTCAACGAAAAGCAAGCCGGAAAGCTAATCCAGTCTCCTAGAGAGGCTGTCCGGTGGGACCCACTAAAAGTAGTCCTCTTTTGAGAAGGGGCGATTTCTACTAGAACAAAATCAACCATCAGAATAAAGGAACTAGAAACGGTTTCCTTAGAGGTTCACAGCTGCTAAGAAATGAAACAAGGCAACAGGAATGTTCAAGAAGCACCCGTATGTCTTCTAACTTTGGGGGATTAAACCAAGGAAAACGAACATAGCAATCTACTTAAAATATAGCGCAGGGAGCATTTCAAAATCTGTCCTAAAGATGGGTTGTTTTATGTATCGTCTATTACCTCCCTCGATGTGAAACTTACGGTGGGTGCTAAACTGGAGAATATCCTCAGTAAAAGGACAACCTCGTTTCGAAAAAAGTGGTATTCCAAACTGCTAACTCTATTCCGTTGTTGGCCGCACGATATACCTCCGGTTGTCACATGCACGAGGAAAAGCGCTATCTGATTACGTACACAGCGAAGTGCGTTCGGTCCCAGAAAATGAATTAAAGCGTGACGAACTTCGGTGCTGTGAATGAGTCTGTCATGCAAGTTGCTGCATCGGCTTCGAAGTGCTTTTCACATCTATTCGTGTAGTCGGAAGCAAATGAAAAGGTGAGATTGATCGTGAGATAAATCACGCATTGCTGGGCCGAATACATTCGGTCACCGTTTAATTCGCCACGCGCATTCACCATCATTCTATATAGCGGACAAAATCCTTGACCGGTTTCCGCCAATCCTCCTATAAAAGCGGAGAGCAACCAAGTGCTCGATGAACTAAAAGACCATAAAGCACATGAACTTCCTACGGCTCTCGACAAATACACTCATTTGCATATCAATTTGGTTTTCACGGGAGACTCATCTGAATTCCAGCCGAATGTCCCGTTTATAATGCCTCACAAAGGGCGAAACCAGTCGTGGATTCTGATAAATCCACAGGCGGTGGAATGATGCTTGTAGGGGGGAATTGCTTCATCCTTTGCTTTTTTGTTTGAATAGGACGTGCCTTTATTCGTTGCCTATGCCATTGAGAAGCGATGGCAAAACAACCGTTATCAAGGAACCAGCCTTACCTCAAGCGCGCCAAAACAAGTGGTCTCTGAGGTGTTTCGTATATTAAACCGACATTACAAAGAGTGCAGAAGGGACAAACTGGAAGTGGATATATTGACTTCGTCCACTCCTCGCCAGATTCTAGGACACTGCCTCAGTTACTAGAGGCTTACGACTGACAGACAGTCTTTGACTCCACTTGCTTAGCAGAAATTTGAAATACCTGATGATCATGTGGTGGTACTGGAGGCCTTAAATCCTACCATATCAAATGGAATCAAAAATTACGGTGAGCTGCCGCAACCATTCTCGCTTCCAACCGGAAAAAACACGAAGACCTTGTGTCCCTTTTCTCACTTGACTTTGCTACGTGAGTCAGTCGAAGGCTATATTGTTGGTGATGCGATTGAACTTTTTCCAGGTTAGCGAGTGCTGGATCTAAAGCTGGTCGTTGAAACCTTTTTAGTGAATGGTAGTGATGTGGTCATAGATGGATTGCTGAAACACCTGCAGATTGTGGTGCCTCGAAATGACATATTCACTGTACGCTCTGCACACGGGATGCTTCTCAAGACTGACACCGCCTGCAATCACACTCAATGATGAAGTTGACGACTCCGCTTACCAGAGAAACCATATTACATTTAGCGGAAGAGCAGAAGGATAAACCCCACCAGGGACCATAAAGGTTAGGTCAACATTTAATAACTTAAAGTACCTTAGGTAGAATGTTGCCAGTATCACACTGGGGGGACATATCTACGAAGTTACCGTACACTGCTGTGAAACCTAGGGTTGATGTCTGAGGACCACTGGGCTTTGACAGGCATTGTTTATACTACCGCTCGTGTCTGGTGATAGACTCTGGCGAGCAATTAAATCCTTTGGAGATTACTTGGTTTGTCTGATCACCCCCGAAAACTTGTCTGTCTCCGGATCGCATGCGCCAATTGGACCAAATTTTACCCACATTAGCGCAATACCCACCATTTTGTGAGTAGTTTTCACGTGCTGGGCCTTACAAAAATAAGTGAGAGGGTGGTCACCTGACGACATGAAGAGCACGGAACGTCTGAGAACAGCTTTACCGAGACTGGGTCCAAGTGTAGCACAAGTACAAACATTGATTCTTACCCCGTCAGAATCCTCTACAGAAGAATCCCAAAAGAACATTCCACCTTAGGTAAGTTATTATATAGCTACTAGTTAAATATACGATGTAGCAACGCTGAATCGGCAGCTCTAATGGTTTAATTGGCTGTTGGTTAAGTGTCCCTTGATCCGTTCGCCGAGCTTGGCAATTGGCTTGCGAACGTTTAATCACTATGCGAGCAGACATCGTCTATACGTGGTTGGGCAGGTGATTCCTCCACTTTCTCTTACGTTCATGTTTCTAAAAGTAACCAATATCCGCATTATGAACTGTTGTTATTGGATTGTCTGGGGCTTAACTGGATCGGTACTTTTGGGAGTTTTGTCGCGTTATGGTCTACTCACCGGACCAACTAGATGCAAGGTAATCAGACCAACCCAACCGCGCACTCACGACCTCTCAGCATAGCGACGAAACGTTTGTAGACTAAATGCAAAGCTCGGGGGACTGAGCAATTGCCACCTGAGAAAAAGTCAAAGCAACAAGCGGTCCGACCTGGACTACCGCAGCAGCAGTCAACTGTAAGCCGCGTGCGAATGCTCAAAACCAAAAACCGTTGACAAACGAGATCAGAACGCGTGGAACAACTCTAAGGTCGATGGATTTTAGAAATAAACTAGGGCTGATGCCAACAACCCCAATTTTGCCGATGAGACTAGGCTTGATAGATTCACTGTTTCCCTCAAAGATAATTCTGAAAACGAGGGGATTCCGGTCGGTTTCGAGAATGTTCGCTCTTTGTAGGGCTGTCTGTCATAATTCAGCCAACAAAGTAAACACGTTCATCCGAACTTCATTGATTATACCTATCGAATTATTGGGAACGTAAGTGGTACGTAAGTGGCCAGATGACCCAAGCGGTTAGAGCGCAAATTTACTGACCGGAAGGTTCGTGGTTCAAACCCGACCTCTGCCACTCGACTTCCCCTGTCTAGGCCTGGGCGACCTGGCAGTATCCCAGCCCTCGTGCTTCCTCCGGGTGGCATGGCAGCTAGGCACCGGAAGGGTGTGACAGCTGAACGGTTAAGTGGTACACCAGAAAAATGTCTCGGTTATGATCGAGGTAGACGTGGTGAAAATCAGTTTTACCAATCAGTCGAGAGTTTCGCAAAATTACCTGGTTCATGAGTTGAAGCTCCGGGCACACTGCGAAGCTCCTTCGTTACACTGGGTTAGGGTTAAGACATCAAGCAAAGAAGTAAAATGGAGACAAGGGATAGGAAGCATGATGTCATACCGTAAACGGAAACGCGAGGAAACTTAGACCACAATGAAACCTGACGGCCCGATACAAACAAAACCCAAGGAATAGAGTACGTGAAGACTGCAGTAAACTTAACGAACCTGATTAGGTGTAAATCAATCCCGAACAATTTCAACAGACAAAGGAACAGACGGAAGGGGGGATCGTGGGCATTCGTGTAGGATAATCTGACCAGGGAGGCGTCAAAAGTCATTACTGATATCCATCTGTGGAGAGGAGAAAAACGTAAATGAACGAACGAATGCAAGAAAGGGGAGCGGAACATAATTTAAAAATGTTGTCAAAAAGACAATATGGGCGAAGTCGATTCGAAGTCCACACGACAGTGGCCGTCGTTTGCCAACGGCTGTCGGGTAGCATCATTATCATCCTCCTCCTCCTCCTCATCATCATCATCATCATTGTCAGCCGTAATAACCGCGTACTCGTCGTACAGTGGTTGCAGCTGCCGCAGTTTCGTTCACCGATGATTTCGGGGAGGGGGTAGGTAGCTGCGCATTGGAGGCAGGAGCTGATAAATTGGTGCATAAATCCAGCACTGTCAGTGGGCTGTCAAGTGGGGGGGTTGGAAAAGGAGCTATGCATTGAGGGCAATAGCTT